GATTACACATTTTTTCAATCAATACTAATTATCAGTATAAAGTCTTTCAGTTTCAGATAAAACCTCCTCTCCACTTCTCGTAATACAGAAGGAATCTAAACTGGGCTCCTTTGCAGCTCACCTAATATTAAGCATTATTCAACAGAATTCTCCAATAAATCAATGAGAAGAGGATTTTTTTCAGCAGAGTCTCTTTCTGTATTTGAGAGTTGTTATTGTTGGGGGCTGGAGCCAAAGCACAGCTATACGGTGTTTGCCTTGCATGCGGCTGGCCTGGCCAAGCCAGGTTCGATTCTTCCACCCCTCTCGGAGAGCCTGGCAAGCTACCGAGAGTATCTCACCCACATGGAAAAGCCTGGCAAGCTACCTTTGATGTATTTGATATGCCAAACACAGTAACAACAAGTCTCACAATGAAGATATTACTGGGCCCGGTTGAGCAAACTGATGAACAATGGGAGGACAGTGCAGTACAGTGTAGTTATTGCTGGACATAGCCCCTAAGGACTTAACACAATGAAACTTAAATCTCCAGGTTATTCGTATGCACCCTGTCGTGACCTACACCACCCGCAGCTTCATGTTTCCTTAGTAGCACCATTGTCCCCTAGGAGATGTGTCCTGGCTGAAAGGAAGGGATATCTTACCAAATCCTTAGTTTACTTCTGTTTCTAGTACATCACCCCCAGAAGAAAATGTTGTTTTAAGCAATTGCTAGTTCTGTATCATTTATAGTTCTTTATCGTTTCCTATTATTTAGTATTATTTTTACTCCTATTTTAAATTCCCCTGTTCAAATTTGTAAGATAACTTTGGTTTGTCCTTTCTCCCTTGCCACAGGGAGCTTGGATTTATCAGGTTACATCCATCACAGTGCTCCCGAGTCACTCACAATCCTCTGTTTGCCTGTAAACTCTTCTCTGTGCTCTCCTCCCCAGCCAGTTAATCACCTTTTCTCCCTAATCAGATTCTGTTAGATCAGATCCTTGTAAGATCAGATCCTTTGAAGGACACTGACCTTGTAAGTTATGTCTTTTGCATAGTTTACCTTAAAGCAATGTCCTTTCTGTATGGACACCAGAAGACAGTTAATACTATACTTTGTAACTTGGGAGTTGATTAACTCCAAATAATATTTACTCCTGAGCATCTGCTTTCTTGACTCAGTTGCCCTTAGTTGCTAGCACCCCAAAAGCAGGGTCCCAATAAGGGACTGAATGGACCTAGGAGAAGCTGGAAGCTACCCTGGCATCGAAATGGGCCAGGCCAAAGCGCCACGATACTCAACTATAAGTTGAGGGCATGATCATGGACAAATGCTGTCATGATCCAAAAGTAAGTAACAACGAGACTAGGACCCTGCTGGGGCTAGGACGACTAACCTGGCCTGAGGACTGTGATATATATATATATATATATATATATATATATATATATATATATATATAGTGAGATGTCCTCAGGAAGAACCAAACTGTAAGTTTATCTCTTACTGTGTTCATACAGAATGATGTTGCTAGAAATATTGGAAGTAGATTTACTACAACTATTTAAGTAGATTACTACCTGAGGAAAGAATACACCCTTTTTGGGATCCCACCCTTGAGCAGATCTCCTAGTAATCTGGAATAATCTCTTTAGATGAGATTTTATCCTTGAGTTAATCTCCTTGAGGAGTGGTCTTACCTCTCTTTGCTGATTTGTTAATGTTCAACCCACCTTTGTGTCACCACCTTCTATGATTGCTATATAAACTAAGACTGCAAGCTTGAAGAGAGGAGAAGGTGCAGGCAGAAGCTCAGGAGAGACTGAGGCGTAGAAGGCCCAGGCTGAGGAGGAGGCAGAGGCTCAGACTCACGCTCGGGCTTGGGCTCGGGCTCGGGCTCGGGCTCAGGCTCGGGCTCGGGCTCCAGAGGGCAGAGTCAGAAGTAAGAGGGGTTCAGGCTCAAGAGAGAGAAGCAGAATGAGAGTGAAGATTGGAATGAACTACAATTGACACCAACCAGCCTGGCCCTCGTTCCTTCCTTCGCCTGCCCATCACCATCGACCTCCCCGGGGTGGGGGAAACAATTCGAAACTACCGAACGGGAATGCAGGTGGCAGGAGAGATAAAAGTGTCATTGGACTTTTTGAAAACACACACAAATTTGTGTTATAAAACTTTTTCTTCCGGGGCTGGAGCAATAGCACAGCAAGTAGGGCGTTTGCCTTGCATGTGACTGACTCAGGTTCGATTCCCAGCATCCCATATGGTCCTCTGAGCACCGCCAAGAGTGATTCCTGAGTGCAAAGCCAGGAGTAACCCCTGAGCATCGCTGGGTGTGACTCAAAAAGCCAAAAAAATAAAAGTTATAATAACCTTTTTCTTTCACTGGACACTGGTGATAAGAGTAAGTTCCCAGTGAGTGGATTTGTAATCAATGAGAACTCCTCAAAGTCAACAGTCTTTGTAAAACTGAAGAAATGGTGAATAAAAATGGAAATAAAACAGAAAATCTGTCCTGAACAGAAATGTCAATAATATGACACCAAATGTAATCTTGTAAGAACCATGATGTATATGATACACTGCTACTTTGTTGTAGTGCTTGAAAAAATTATGTTCTATTGATTCTACAGACTTCAGGTACTCACTCTGTTTCTCTAACATTTACTCACTTTTACTGAAAGATTCTGCTGTTCAGAAATATTATTTTTACAGCCAACCACAAGTGGCTGGCATAAATTTTTGCTAAATATCAGTCCTATCATTTTTAACATTTCTGAATACCTAAATTGATTTCTAGAAAGAGAAAAATTAATTTCCAGATTAAAATATATGGAAATTCAAAGGGAAAAAGTTATTTTGAAAAATAAGGTTTGCCCTAATATTTTAGTACTGTGACTAGATATGAAGCTAAGAAGAAAAAGAACTGGAAAGACTTCATATTTTAATCACCTAAGTCAATATAATGATTGTAAGGTGATAGAGTTGTCACAAATAGAAGAAACACAGAGTTTCATTGACAGAAATGCATTTTTAGTCTGTAAAAAAATAGTTGGCAATATTTAGAGTGACTGAACAAGTTAAAAAATCTTTAGTTTTTGTGAGAAGTTTTCAACTTTTAAATGTGCTCGTATTTTCAGAGAGAAAGATATAAGAGAAATGCCAGGATGGGGAACCAACAAACTCTAGACAAGGAAGTCTCCTCTAATTCTCATTCCTGGGACATAAGAAAAATCAATGAAAATTTATTTCAACCAAAATCTAAAAACAAAGTTCTATAGTTAGCAGAAAAAATGGCACATTCATTACTAAAATGCTTACACTTGATAAAGAATTTATCTAAGATGTATCAAGTCTGCCATTCAAATCCATCAGACCTATTTTACTCTCTTATTAATTCCATTTTTTAAAAAACACACACAATTTACATAGAGTCTAAGAACATCAAGATACTAGATTATTTAGATTGATTTATATGAGACTCTACCTATGAATAATCAATGTGTTTTATTAGTATTATGTTGTATCTAAAACACAAAGATGTTGTTTTATGAAATCTACTTTAGTCAATGCCAGTAGCACAGTGTACATTTTATAAAACTGACCATTGTTTCATTTTGTAAGAGATATCTGTGAAACTGGGGGTTGTGAGATAATGCAACAGGTAGAGCATTTGTCTTGCATGTAACTGACCTTGGCTTCATCCCTGGCACCCAACATGTTTCCCCAAGTCCACGGGGAGTGCAGAGTCAGGAGTAATAACTGAGCATTTCTGGGTGTGCCCCCACCCACTCCCCCCCAAAAAAAAAGAAAAAGAAGAAAGAAAATAGCTATTTAACTGTGTTCATTTATTGAAGTATGTGTTTCAAATCTAGAAGGTAGTTCTAGAAATATAATTGTTCTTTATTTAAATCATATTTTTACCACATTCTAGATAAGAAGACAAACTTTTAAATGCTGTGGTATACCACAGATAAGACCCAGAGACTATAAAGCCCAGCTCCCAGAAGAGAACAGCGCAGAGTCTCCTGACCCCGCGCCTGGCTGTCCTCACCGGGGCCTCTTGGAGGCGGGGCGGGTTGAGTTCCCCTCCCCGCCCCGAGCAGAGCCCTGGCAGCGAAGACCTCCAGAACCAGCAACAGCAAGCAATGCTGAGACCACTCTCCACACGCATGAAGGAACTGGCAGAGGAACACAGGCATGCGGGTCCTGGGGCTGAGATCTTCAAGCCTGCTCAGATCCAGGCTGAGCATCCTCCACCCAGATCCTCTAGCTTTCAGTAGACAGGGGTCACACCCACCAACTGCCCCCAGAGCCAGGTAATCCCATCAATGGCCAAGACCCAGAGACTATAAAACCCAGTTCCCAAAAGTGCGTGACCACGCAACATCTTATTATCTCATTTTTACTTTGGACAACCTGGCAGGCTACCGAATGTAACCTGCCCACCTGGCAGAGTCTGGAAAATTCCCCGTGGCATACCCAATATGTCAAGTACCAGTAACAATGATGGGTCTCATTCTCCTAACCCTGAAAGAGCCTTGAATATGGCACTTTTTTAAATTTCAGGACTAGGACGAAGGAGACATTACTGGTATCTGCTCAAGGCAACTGATGAACAATAAGATGATCATGATTGTGATCGTGGTATACCGCAGATAAAGATGAACATCCTTTCTTATTTTTATATTTGGGTAGACTAAATAAGCATGAGGTAGTGACATTATTCTGTAACTCTAAAATAACTTTTAGCTTGAATAGAGGCAGACTGGGGTGGGGAGTGACTTGAAAGAGTGGGAGAGAAACTGGGGGCACTGGTGCTGGAAAATTACACTGGTGGAGGGATGGGTGCTGAAATGTTATATGACTGAAAAGCAATCATGAACAATTTTGTAAAGCCCTATCTCGCAATGATTCAATAATATATATATATAAATTAAAAACCTGCTCTTCTCATTATTCTAAAATCCTCTCTGACTATATGGATTGAAACACCACTTCATGAAAAACTCACCATATCTGTGTCAGAGACAGGGCCAAAGCTGGTCACATAGATATTGGTGAAGACTTCGGTAATGCTGTCTGATATAAGAAAAAAAGAGAGAATATAGACAATATAAATGAAAGTCATGAGAGAGCTGGAGTCAGCTACAAGTTACATATAAAGTTTGCATGGTATTAAGAAATAATGCCTTTGGTTTTCTTTTCAATTTTCAAAACCAACAAAAATAGTTAAATTATTTGTTTTTTTTTTTTTTCAGACATCCTCAGAGTCCTAAAAGCGAAATGCTTAGAAGTTTGATAACACTCTTACTAGGAACTAATTACAGCACTCAACCTTAAGTATATTGTGTAAGTATATATATATATGTATAATGTGATTCTTAGAATCACTCTTAGCCAAAATAATTAATACTCAATTGACCATCCCTGCTGAAAATAAAAGTATGGTTAGTATTATTTAAAATTATTTGGCAACAAAATAATATGTTCTAAGTTTATGCTTAAACTAAGTAATGTCATTTGATCCTCAAGCCCAACTGGTCCTCTGAGTCCTGCCAGGAGTGATTCCTGAATGCAGACGCAGGAGTAAGCCCTGCACTCTGCCAGGTGTAGCCCCAAAACAAACAACACCTACCCCCAAATCCTAAGTATTATAGGTGCTATTTCATGACAGTGAAGATTTAGCATACAGTTTAAAATTAGTATATTTTCAAAATAAAACAATCATTAGTCATTAAAAACACAGTTTATACTAATAGAACTCAGTAACATAAAATGTATACATATAATATAAACTAATCACATAAAATGAATACATATAATATAAACTAATCACAATAAACTACCTCCACACAAACATACTTTTAAATGTATTTAGCAATACCTGAAATACTTAGACTGTACTGAATTTGATTATAAAGTTATTGAACTGTAACACAATAATTGCAGTTTTATGTACTGAAAGTGATTTAGATCTTTGATCTTAAATAAGTCAAAAGGTGATAAGGCAAAGGGTCAAAAATACTTTTTTGAGGCCAGGGAGATTGCTTGAGGACAAAACTCTATGTCTATGTGTACTGGATCCTAGTTCAACCTCCAATACAAGTCAACTCCAATGGGTGTGACTCTGGTGACTCCCACATCATTGGAACAGATCAGCACCAAGTATCTGGGCCACAGCACTCATACAGCCAGCAGAAATCTTCAGGAGAGTTTTCCAATACCCTGAGCTTTGCTAGGAATAGGAACTGCCTCCCATTGACCCCCAAACATTCTTAGGGGGGAAAAACAATTTCTAGCAACATAAACTGAAAGTCTTAATACAAAAATGCTAAATTTGTAATTCTATAGAAATAACATTAAAGTTTTTAATAGTCTGTGACTGTCACTGTCACTGTCCTCTCGTTGTTCATCGATTTTCTCGAGCGGGCCCAGTAACGTCTCCAGTGTGAGACTTCTTGTTACTGTTTTTGGCAGATTGAATACTCTCGGTAGCTTGCCAGGCTCTCCAAGAGGGGCAGAGGAATCGAACCCGGCTTAGCCGGGCTGGCTCCACGCAAGGCAAACACCCTACCACTATGCTGTCTATTAGGCATAAATTTACAATTCAGAAAAAGAGGAAACCAAGTTGATAATACTGTATTGATTAAGAAAAACATAAGATTTTAAAATAAAGATTAGGTTCTGATGGCTTAATCTTCATGAAATATAAGGACTAATTTGAGATAGATCATTTATTATTCTATAAACATATGTGTACACTGATAGAAAGGTAAGAAAATTTGTACACTGGCCTACACTAAGCAAAAAAAAAGTAAGAATTACATTTATCAAGAGCCTAAGAAATCTGACTCCTAAGACCTAGGCTTTAAGTAAAGATATATCACAGTCATAAAAAACATGAAACAAAAAGTGTTTCTTGAAAATTACATTATTTCTATTACAGTATTTTCTACCAAAATTATATATATACAAATATGTATATTATTAATCACTATACTATCTATACTATCACTCCGTTGTTCATCAATTTGCTTGAGCAGGCACCAGTAACACCTCCATTCATCCCTGTCGCATGCTAGTGTAGCCCAATGGCATATTGAGGGCTCTTTGAGGGTCAGGGGAATGAGGACCATCATTGTTACTGTTGAGTTTCCTTCTCTGGCCCGAGCAGAGCCCCAGCAGCTGAAGACCTCCAGGACCCAGCCACAGCCATGCTGAATCCACTCTCCACACACTCAGACGAGTTTCACGCATGAAGGAACCGGCAGAGGAACCCAGGTGTACGGGACCTGGGGCTGAGATCTCAAAGCCTGCTCGGTTTGGGACTGGGCCTCCTTCACCCAGATCCCCCATCTTTCAGTAGTTAAACAGTTACACCCTCCAACTGCCATGTAACCCTATCAATGGCCAGGATTGAGAGACTATAAAACCAAGCATATTATTAATATATATATATATAATTAATAATATATATATTTTTCCAAAAAAGATTTATTCAACTTTGTTATTTAAGTACTATTCTGGTCTAAAACTCCATTTCCAAATCCAATGCTTGTCTTAATGTTTTTCTTCATCTCCTGTAATGAAGAATTTTTAAATTAAAATCTCTACATTTTCTTCTTAGACAATGGTTCACAAATTATTGGAGATTCCTGGGCCTTATGCTATATGTATAGCAGAATGAAATCATAAAAACAGGAAAAGAGTTAGTTTTCTTTTTCTCTTATACAAACCAAATCAATCATACTATCACATCTGTTTAACAAACAATTGAATAAAGCTTTAATCACTACTGATATTGATTTAAAATGTTCCAGATTACATTAGACTCTATCCATAGAGAGGCAAATGAAAAAATTCTCATTAATCTGGAGTACTAAGGCAAGAGAATAAAAATAAGAAAAATATATGAATATATTCATGCTAAATACATGAAGAATATCCTCTATATGCCAAAATGCAATTAAAATATACAAGAGAAAATTATCAGTGCTAGTGGATGCAGAAAAGTGCCAGCACAGAATCCAAAGAGAGTAAAATAAGATTACCCACAAATCTCTAAGCATGAACAGCAGAATACAGAGACAGATTATAGATATTCAAAGTCACCTTAGAGATATCATTTTGTGGTTTCTTGACTTCATAAGCACAGCTAAAGAATGTATGTGAATGGAAGGGATATCCTCCTGCTGTGGAAGTTCAGACAAAGGTATTATCGACAAGGCAGAGACTGACTACACATTTTCTGAGAAAATGTGAGTGATGAAGGGATTTTTGGTATTGAGGATAAGACCTTTAGAGTTTGTATATGTAAAGACTCACAGAGCTATAAACAACCAACGGACTAGTGAAATGACTTAGTGACTACTAATGCTTTATATGTCTAACGCAGTTCTCTGGACTTCTATACTAAAATTTTATCACTATTAGGCTCTTGTAATGGGTAAGGAAGCAAGAAAGCGAGAGGAGAGGGAAGATATGATTATACAAATATGGGTTATTTAGGGATAGTGTGACCTATTCGCTAAAATAAGCCTATTTCATTTCCCCCTGTACAGGAAGGACAGGATTGAATTACGTTAATACCTGCTGCAAAATTCTGATCCATGTGGCAAAATTGTGTCACAGAACAGACAAATGAAACGATATAATGGTGACAAACTCTCTGCATTTTAATTAGCATGAGTGATCTGTCAGGTACTGGTCTCCTTTAGGGTTCACACCAAGCTCTATTCTGATCAGAGCTTTCAAAGTGGCAGGTGGTGGAATTCTTGAAGGACTTTAGTTTGCAGAATGCTATGTCCAGTACCACTTTATTATAAATATTATACACCACTTTAAAAGTGGGCAGACTGAATCAAAGAAGAAGAAAAACAATATTTGAAAGATGTTTTCATAATAGTTAAGGCAAGGAGAAAATAGCATTGAGAAGAGTAAAGTGTAGAAATCCAGAAAACAATTTTTTTTTTTACTTTTTGGGTCACACCTGGTGATGCACAGAGGTTACTCCTGGCTCTGCACTCAAGAATTACTCCTGGTGGTGCTCAGGGGACCATATGGGATGCTGGGAATTGAACCTGAGCGGCCGCGTGCAAGGCAAACGCCCTATCCACTGTGCTATTGCTCCAGCCCAAGAAAATAATTTTTAAGCAATTATTTTTGTTTGCAAAAGGTCAGACCTGTTGCTACATAGGGATTACTCCTGATGAGTCTATGTGCTGTCTGGGACAAACTGGGGTCAGTTACATGTAAGGCCTGCATCTTATGGTACCCTGTATTCTGTTGCATATCATAAAACTAACACTCCACGGTGCCATTCCTGGGGCTCTTTGCCCTGGTGTAGGCCTGAGAGTTCAATGCTCAGGCAGAGTGATGTACAGGGTCCACATGAGACACATAGACACACCCACCATGTATGCTCAGGGGGACATTGGGTACTAAAGATAGAACTCGAAGTTTTGCATATACTAGACTGGTGTTCTACTTCTTGAATTATCTTCTCAGCCCCTTTAAATGATATTGTGAAAAGATGCTGAAACAGACCCTTTTAATAGAGCAACTTTAGTGTCTGGAAATAGGTCATTTCAGTAGAAATGTGAAGATTAAAAAATACGAAACAAAAATGGAAAGTAATTGCACAGTGAAGGCATAAAGAGAACAAATGAAAATATTTTTGTGAAGGCTTGTCAGTGAATATTTGGAAGATGACTGTAGAGTAAAGTAAAATACAGGAAAAAAATAAAATCTTCTAAGAAAAATTTCTAACATTTAGCAAGACTAGTATGGCAGTTTGTATGTTTTTATGAATGGCTGAAAGTCATTGAAAATTATGTACTAAGTCTTGATGGTTCCAGTACTTCATACTGCATGAATGGTTGCACAGTTTCAACACAACTGACTTGTGTTCAAAGAACTGGCTATTATCTATTCAGTGAAGTTCATCTTATCATTCCATTTAATTTTATTTCTTTATTTTGAGGAGTTGGGGCTAGTGACTACTATTGACGATGCTCACAAGAAACTTTTTGGAAGTGCCTGGAGGAGCATATGCAGTGATGGGGATCAAACCTGAGTCA